ATCTTAAAATATAATTATAAATTTGTATTATATCAAATTAAAGCTAATAAACCAACTGGCATTGTTACCAAAGTTAAAAAAAAAAAAATTTTATTAATTATAAAATTTTATTAGTAATTGTTTATATTTAATAAAAATTAAAATTAATTTATAAATTAAAAATAAATTTATTATTTAAAGATTAAATTAAAATAATTATAGTAAAATTTTATAAAGAATTTTTTTTATTTTTATTTATTTATTTTTTTTTTAACTATTTCTGATGTTTTTACAATAGCAATATTAATTACATATTTTTTTTTTAGTATTAAGATGACCTCTTTGGTCTGAGCTTTTTATATTAATACTTATAGCAGGTATATGTTTTATATAAACATATCTATAATGAACTTAGGTATTAGAACCACCTAAAATTTTCTTAATCATTTAATTGTTTAATCGTTTAACTGTTTAATTTGGCCGGCATTAAAATAATTCTGGCCTACAACCAACATAATTTTGCCTAGAACTATGAAGCAATTTTTAAACAGTTAAACAGTTCCAATCCATAAATGAACTAATAGATGAGTATACAACTGGCTACATATGTAACTTTTTTATATTACCTATTTAAGGAGTCCACCTGAGGATTCTCTATCAGTTGCTATATCTAATACTCTTGCTTAGATGTTCCATTTAAACCCTCTGATCTAACTCTAGTATTAATTTCACCAGGTCACAGACTCAGATCTATTCACATTCGACTACAGGACCATAATCTTTAGACTATTTTTATCCTCGAAATAAACCTACCAGAGTGAGCTGTATTCTCTTTTTACCACTAACCTGGTTTGACACTATGGCCAAGACTAATACTTGCAGTCAAGGTTACCTCTTAAATCACTATTACCCTTGTAAAGTTCACCCAAACACTGGTACCCATCTTTTTGACTTCTTCTTCATTATCCTCTACTAGCTGTAACTCAGAACTAACCAACTCCTCAGACTTTCAATCCAGATGGCCTAGTATAGTATACTTATATATCCTTTTCCTCTGGTGATTCCAGTAGCCTGGTTGGTCATATGCTCCTTTATATATTTTTGTTATCTAGTTTATCTAACAGTTCCTATAAAGGTGTTTCATGAGCTTCTATTAGTCCAATGGCATCATCAAAAGTTTGTGCTACCTCTTTACTTGGGATTTCCAAATGAGTTTCTGTTCTTCGGTTTCTTAGCCTTCTATGCCTGGTGGTCTTATCATGGGTTTGTACTGAAGCCTTATATGACATCAGTTTTTTATATTCCTCTATGTACATGTACTGTATAATATTACATTTTGCATAAATGCCCTGAGCTCCCAATGTCAGGTAGAACCTGACTTGGTGTACTTAAGATTACAGATGCCCAAAACCCAACCAATCAGCAAGAGACAGTTATTATAATACAGATATAATTTTCAAAATTTGTCATCCATGGGAATTGAACCTTAGATCTGCCACTTGAGGGTTGACAACCTATCCACTTTACTAGGTCACCACATCCCTAATATTAATTACATATTAAAATAATTCTAAACTATATATTTATATATTTTTTTATAAATAAACTTTATGAAGCATTTGTTATAAATTAGCATAATCTCTTTAGAGATTCTATTTTTTGCAATCATAGAGAGTACTAAATCTGAATGTCATATGTTACCTCATTTGTAGGCTGCATAATAGCATCAGATTTCATATATAGTGTGTGTGTATAGTCATAAAATAGTTCTATATGTTTTTGTTTTTTCAGTAATATTTTTTAAGAAAATTTTTTCTATTGTATTAGATATAAGTTTTGTTTAATTTGTTTTTAAGAATTTATATGCTTCTGTTCAAATTAGTTTGCTGATTCTGCACTCTGCAGCAAAGTGCTCAATTATTTGTATCTGTTTAGAACACTATGAGCATTCTTCTAAATCTGTTGATACAAAGTGTCAAAGTCTGTATCCTAATGGTAGAGCTTTGTGAAATAATCACCAAAGAATTCTTTCTTTTTGTTTAGTATTGCTTTCTGAAAAATCAAGTTCTAGTCTTGTAAATATACTATAGATTTTATTTGATTTACTGATTTAGATCTAAGTTTTCATAAGAGTTTTATTGTAGATTTAACTGATGTTTTAGTAGCTTTTTTTCCATTTATTTTCAATTCTGTTAGGCTCTATGGCCATTCAGATTCTGATAGTATTTTTTCTTTTATTTTTTTCCAGGCCAGAAGATAGAGTTTTCATTCTGTAGGCCAAGCTTTTGATCTAATAAGTTGTATAGAGAGTGCCTCTTGTACTAAGAGGTCTCTTTTTTGAATAAATAGAAAAGAGATTTTATTTTTTTTACTTTTGCTTATAAGAGATTACTTAAGAATAGTTTAGTTCAAACTAATAATAGTCTAGCCTCTAGTAAATTGCCAACTATTGAAGCTTGTAAACTACCTTGTTCATAAGATTGTTGAAAAGTAGAGTATCTTGGTAGCATTTTGAAGTTGCCTTTGACTCAGAATATAATAAGTCTGTTGATTTCTGCAACTTGTTTTCTATTTGATGATGTTAGATATGCAATATACCATATCTTTAATAGAAATAAAGAATTTGCGAACATAATTTTTTCTTTAAGTAACAGGTTTCTGTATATAAGCCTTTCTAAGCTTAGTTTAAGTTTGTTTATAACTTCTTATCATAGGTTTTTTTTGATGTACTATTGGCTATAATGTTATAATCTAAAACTGTAATATTATTTTGTTCTTTAAGTTTTTTAAAACAGGTTTCTTCTGAAAGTTCTATACTTCTAGCTTTGTTTGTAAGAGGCATTAGATTTGTTTTAAGTTTGTTGATTCTTGTATTAGAAGCTTTTTTATATTTGCTAAACAAATCTAAGATTGTTGTCTAGTCTGGGTGTAAGCTAATTCCAATTATAAGGTCATTTGCATATACTGTGCATTTGAAAGATTGATCACTAATTTTGATTCCTATTAATTTGTTGTCTAACATGTTTAACAAAAGTTCAAATACAAGTACATATAGTAGAGGTAAGAAAGGATCATCTTGTTTGACCTCTCTTTCTATTCTAAAAGAGTCTAAGATGTGTCCAGAGTCTAAAATATAAGCTTCTTGTCAATTGAATAAGTTTTTTATCAGGTTTCTAAATTTTTTAGTAAAGTTCATATTTTTGAAAACTATTTGTAAGAATTCATGACTTATTTTGACAAATGTTTTTTGTTAATCAACAAAAAGCATCCAGTGTTTTTTGAATTTATTATCTTAGTTTTTTAAAATTGTAAATATGTCCAAAGCTGAGTCTGTAATTAGTTTGTTTGTAACAAATTCTTGCTAATATAAAGGTACTATTTTATTGCATATTAGGTTTAACCTGTTAGCAATGATTTTTATAAAAATTTTTGTATCACAGTTAATTAGTAATATGGGTTTTCAATTGTTTATATTGTGAAGTTTTTTGGATTTCTTTGATATTAGTATAATTAAGTTTTTGCATCATAAAGATAGCAGTATTTCTGAGTCTAAAACCTAATTAAAAACTTGTTCTAGAACAGATGTAATATGTTCTTTAGTCAGTTTATAGAACTTGTAAGTAAGGTTGTCTAACCTTGAAGACTTGTTGTTAGGTAGTTTTTTGATCACTTTTAAGATTTCTTTTTGAGAGATATATTTTACTAGTTTGCTATTTATTTGATAAAAGGTCTGTAAAAGATTTTTGGTAATTTGTTTTGCTATTGTGTTGTTAATTTTTTCTTTATTATATATTTTTGTATATTGTTCTTTAATGTAGTTAAGTACTTCTTTTTTATTATGTTGTTTTTGAGTAAAGGATATCTGTATTTCTGTCAAAGCTGCATATAACTTTTTAGCTTTAAAGTGAATATAAAAGTATTTGGTAGATTTTTCTTCTAATTCTGTTCAGTTTGCTTTTAAACATTGTTGTCATCTATTTGCTAGCTCTGTTAATTCAGACTGAATTTGTAAGTTAAGTGTATCTAATATAGTGAAAAAATAAGTCTGGTCAGGGTTTTTGACTATGGCTTCTTTTGTTTAACTAACTTTTTTGTTTAGTCTTTCTATTTTATCTTCTGGTGTCTTAGGCTTTTTAAAAACTTTTATAATAGATTTTATATAAACTTTATGCATATTCCAGTTTGCTGCAGAGATAACTTTTTGAATTTTATTCAGGATTTCTTTTTTTAGAATATTGTTTTTAAAAGAGTTTATATCAAATCTCTAAAGAGCTGAGTGTCTAGATTTTTGTTTTAAACTTAGAACATATTTAACTAATAAATGATCTGAATTTCCAAATTTTGGTTTTGTTTCTAAATTTGGATAACTATAATTCTTATCTATAAAAATATAATCTAATCGAATAGCTATTATTTGATTATTATGTGTTTTTTAATAAAATATATAAAAGAGATTTTGAGATATAAAGAATGCAGAATCTATGAAATCCTTTACAATATCTTTAAGAAATAGTCTTGAAAGATCATTTTGAGCATTTGCTTGGCTTATTCTATTTACTTCTAGATCTAGATTTGTGTTTAAATTTTCTGCCAAAATGTTAATCATATTATTTTTCTTTTTAATTGCCCAGTTGTCAAAAAATAAGGTTCTATCCAAGATGTTTATTGAAGCATAAACATTAGTTATATAAAAAGAAAACTTTTTGAAGATAAAACAGATAGAAATTATTTTGTCTTCTTGTAATATCCTGGTTTCTTCAAATTTTATTTCTTTGTTTTCTGCTAGAATTGCTGTTCTGCTTGTTCAGATTAAATCAAAAGACTATTGATTTTTTAAAAATTGACAAGTTGCATTGTTGAATGTATTTATTTCCTGTAAGAGAATGATATCTAGTCTATAAGATTTTAAAAGTATCAAAGTTCTAAGTCATTTGTCTATATTATTTAACCCTTTAACAATTAGGATAGCTATTTTGATTGATGTATTGTTTATAATAAAACTAGTAAGTTTTAAAACTATTTCATGCTATTTGTTCTAGTTCTTCTTGTTGGTTTTCTTTGTTAGAAATCTTATAGGGCTTTGATTTTTTGTGTCTTCTTTTTTTATATATAACTAAGATAAAGGGCATGTTTTTTGTATTTTCTTAATATTTAGTTTGAAGACTTCAAGAGTTTACAGTTGTTTCTTTTGAAATCATATTCTCTGTAAAGTCATCTATATTTTCTTCTTCCAAAAAGAGAGTTTCTGTATTAATAACTATGTTGTTTTTTTGCATTTTCTCCTTCAAGAGAGTTGTTTGTTTTTAAAAAGTTTCTGGTTATATGTTAGTATTTTGTACTGTTTCTTGTATTCAGAAGTTTTTTTATTAAAATTCTTAGTATATTCAAATGAGTTTTCACTAGGAATTTCTATTTGAGTCTTTCTGTTTTTATATTCTTGATAGTGTTTTCTTAGATTTCTTGCTTTTTGAAACTGTACACAGTTTTTCTTAATATAGCCAGTTTGGTTACAAAAGTAACATACTTTAGGAACTTCTTTCTATTCTATAGTTATTCTGTTGTCCTTCATATAGGTAAAGTAAGGAATTCTTTTTTTAAGTTCTAGGTTATTTGTGTTATCGAAGATAACTATTTATTGGTCTATTAGATATAATGTATCTTCAATAAACAATAGTTTAATAGATGTAATCTTTCCAAAGTCTTGAAAGGCCTTTTTGACCTAGTTAGAAATATGTTCTTTTGCATCTAGAGGAACATTTCTAACCTTGACTAGCAAAAAGGATTTGCATGCATCTGTAGGAATATATCTATAATATGTTTCTCTAAAATTGACTTCATTAGTTGCATAATGCATTAGATAATTCTGGTTTAGGAATATAATTTCAAGATGGTTCTTAAGCCTTTTTTAAAGTATTGCTTAGTTGCAACTATGTTTTCTCTTATGTTCTTATATAAAGAAACTATCATTTTATTAAAAAAGTTGTGAAGCCTTGCAATTTTAACAATCAATGCATTGTTGTTTTTGAATCTAATTTGATTTCTAAGAGAAAATGCAACAAAGGTTGATTTTTCTTATTTCAATTTAGCAGATAAGCTTGTGCCTTGTTTAGTGATTGATGCATAGCTTTGTGTAGCTTTGTGTGCTAGTTGATTATCTAAAATGTTGTTGTCATATTTTTCATTAAACACATGACTGTTCCTATTATTGTTTTTTTTTTTTATTTATTTCTTTTATAGTATTGTATGTGTTTTCCAAAGCCCAAGAGTTGTTTTCATTTTGGTCAATATTCTTTAGCCAGTCTTCTTTGTTTTGGATCACTACTACTGAAACTAAATCTTCTTTTATTGCTAATATCTTTTCTTGAGCTGTAATCATATTATCAAGTTTTGCTTCATTTTCTTTTTTTGTAAATAAGTTGTTAGTTTCTTTTTCTTCTTTTTTTTGTTAAGTTTTTTCATTTTAATGATTTTTTCAGTTACTAAAGGTTCCACTAGTCAAGAAATCTTTCTTTTTCTTAGAACAAGAGCTTTAGCTCTTAATAGTATCTTATTTTTAGAGTTTAGGTTTTTATTTGATAATATTATGATTACAATTTTCTATTTGTCTTTTCTGATTAGTAATAAACAGAAAAGAGTTTTTCTATTTATTTTTTTTATTTTGATAGTTTTGTTATAAATCTTTATTAAAATTTTTATGTATAAGTTATATATATTTTGATTTAAATTTTTTTTTTTTTTAAAAAATAGGTCTTTTTTTTAGTTTTTATTTCAGTAATATATAATTAAGTATATTAGTACAAATTGATATATTAAACTATAAGAATAGAAGTTAGAATTAATTTACTCTTAATCTACTCTTAGCTAGAATAGTTGTGAGATCTCTAATTTATATATTTAGTAAAAGAAGATGTTTGATTAAATTGTATAAGTCTATTAAGCTATATAGTATATTGTTTATTTGTTTATTTTTTTATTTTTTATTTTTTGCTTTTGCTAAGGCTGTGATTATTGGTAACTACTATCTTTATTATATTTTTAATTATAGTTACATAATTTGTATAAGGTAAGTATTAGAGTTGCAGGTAAAACTAATTAATTTCACCAGTTGAAACTGATGAAACTGGTGAAAATTAAAAAGTTATTTGGTAAAACTGGTGATACTAGTAATACTGATGGAACTAGGTGATACTAATAATACTGATAAAACTAATGATACTGGTGATACTGATGAAACTGGTAAAACTGGTGATACTGGTGATACTAGTGATACTGGTAATACTAGTAATACTAGTAATACTAGTGATACTAGTAATACAGATAATACTAGTGATACTGGTAATATTGGTAATACTGGTAATACTAGTGATACTGATGAAATTGGTGATACTATTAAAATTAGCAAAATTAGTAAAACTGATAAAACTAGCAATATTATTAAAAATATATATTAGGTTTGTAGTATTACAAGAAAATACTTTAAAGTTTATTTTAGCATTTATATTGAGGTTAGATATTATAGTAAAATCACTTAAAGAAATATTTTGTTAGAGTACTAAAGATAATTATTTATACAGATTTTAAGAAATAAGCAATTTTAACAAAACAAATGTTTGTTCTAATCATGTTATATTCTACTAGAGTTGCTAGTGAAACTAAATTGAGCTGGTGAAACTGTTAACTATTGTAAAAAACAATGTTATATTAAAATGTTGTAATAATTAATTTGGTACAATGTTGAACACACTCTTTCCAATGATCACTTAAACCAAACTAGCACTAAAACAGTTTGAAGAGTTATGCTTTTAAGATAATAATATCTTTAATTCTGTTTAGATATATAAAGCAGATTGTTGCTAATGAACTAGAAGTATATGAAAAAACTGAGGTGCAGGTGACTCTTCTGGTAGTTTGTATTAAGGTTAAGCCTTTTCTGTTAGTGGACTTTCCAACATATTTAGTACCCAAACCAGAAGAACATTCTGGAAACAATAGAGAAAAACTCTGGTTAAAGATTATCAAAAGCTTGAAAACAAATGAACAACTGGAAACACTCTCTTTGGTTTGGCTTTTCATATATCACATCTGTCAACCTTCTCTACCTATTTCATTTTTCTTATTCAAAAATGGGAAAATTGGCTCTCTTCTTACAAAAGATCAGCATTGTTTACCACTTCCTTTTTCAGACAGTTACATGTTGTGACATGATGTAATAGGAACACAACAATCACATGTATGGTCTAACATATGGTGTAATGAAGAAACAAAGAAGGATTTAAGTTAGAGGATTATAGCAAATTAGAGATATATAGTAATTCCTAAAATCATGTATATAAAATTTTTATCTCTTTAGTACAGATTAAAGTGTAGTTAGATCCTTAGCACAGATTTAAAGTGCTAGTGTCCTAAATGGTCATGAATAAGATGTGCTTCCTGACACTTTTTTTTTTTCTTTTTTCTTCCTGTATTTCTTTTTAGTTTAGTTTAGTTTAGTGTTTTTTTTTCTTCTTTCATTTCACTACAAGAAAGTGTTATCAGATTGGTAATACTCTATTGTAGGGTGGTGGTCGGATGAGCCCCTCAGATCCCCTTTTTTCTTTAAAAATTAGGCAACTGATGTGGCAGATCACTTGTAAGTGCTTATAGAAGTAACTGTGGGATGTCGACTCAGCACATTAAGTCTAAAAATGTTTGTTAATATATAAACAGAAATCTTAATAAAGAGTATTGGCAAGACTGCCAAAGTGAAAAAAAAAAAAAAAATTTGGTACAATGTAAGCATTAAATTACAATAACAACAACTATCCAGGTTGTTATTAAAGAGTAATATTCCAGTTATGTTTAAAAGCTATTAAAATACTTTGCCAATATATATGTATACATAATAAAAAAAGTCAGAATATTTTTCTTACTAATTTACTGAATAAATAATATACTAACTAGTTGTAAATTTCCTTCTGGCAAAAATCATGTAAGAGAGTTGAGTCAGGGTATTATAGCTGTTTTTATAAATTTTGGAACATCTGGTAAAAAATTAACTGAATAATTTTAGACCAATTTGATAAGTTTATGATTTTGGCAGTAATAAACTTCTGATTAGTATATAAAGCAATTATTTTTTAATATATAATAATAAAATTCTGACTGCTACTACAATGTTAACACATTCGAAGTTAGGTTTTTGTTTAAATGCATGTCTAGTATGCTTAGTATGTTTAGTATATATAAAATTTTATAGTGAAGATTGTTCTTGCCAACTGATAGATCTTAATAAAAAACATAAAAAAGGTTTTAAATATAAGATAACCTTTTATAATAAATACATAACATAAGTAGGCACTAATAAAAAAAAAGTTCATTATGTTAAGAATTTATTAACTGGATTTAAAACAATATAATTTGAGTTATAATTCTGAACAATCAAGATTTTATTAATATTTGTAAAAGCTGCATTGAGAATTATAATTAATAAAATCAAAGTAAAATTTTATATGTTATATTATTCATTTAAAAGGTTTAATATATAATGATTATTATAAAATATAGGCCAAAAAAAAACTAGTATGAATCTGACAAAAATGTTAAACAATGGACTTGACAACTAAAGAACCTTTAGCTTGTTCAATTATAACAAATATTTTACAAACACCTAATTTGTCTGAAGTAATCATGGCTGAATTTGAATAATCAGACTTGGCTGAAGCAATAATAATAGCAACTAAATCTAATACAACATCCAACTTATCTGAAAAAACAGCAACCCAATCAAAAACTATTGCACTAAAAGAACTAGCTAAAAGTAAGATACATTATATATTTTATAAATTTAATATTATATAAGCTTATTTTTCAAATTTAATTTAATTTTATTTTAGTATTTGTTACACTAATGTGTTATGATTGATTTGAAAAATCATATAAAAACTCAATGTAGCATTAGCAATTCTATATAATCTCAAAAATATAAAAAACTTTAAGAACATTGAAGAAATTGAATTTTAATATAATTTATAATTTATAGCATATATATCTAAAATATATACTTGTTTATTTGTATATCCTAGCTAATGTAAAATTCTTCTAATTGTTGATAAACTAACTTTATATCCTAACCAGCACTTCATTTCTGATTGTAATTTATACAAATACCAATTGGGTTTTTTATTCAATAAAGCTTTAAAATACTTTATATCATCTAAGTTTAATAAACATGGTCTTTTCAAAAGTGCTAGAAGCTTTTTGACACATCTGTATCTTCAAAAATGTTTGAGGATTCGACTTACAGAAGACTTGCTAATATCTAAATGTTTGGCAATTACCTGAACTGTTAGATTTTCCAAATATTTTTCAATAATAGTCCAATGAATATGCTTTGAGAATGTTATTTAGCAAGAATAAAAATAGTGATATGCACATTATATAATTTATTTTATTATTTATCTAAATCATTATCAAATTACAAAGTTGAAAATATGCATATAATTATGTAATTGCATATTGCCAAAATCATAAACTTATTGAATCAGTCTAAAATCATTCAGTCAATTTTTACCAGATGTCTTAAAATTTATGAGAACAGCTGTAATTAGATAATATAATATTGGGTGACTCTAACCTGGATAAAAATAGAATTTTTCTTTGATCAATTTTATTCGAATTTGTATTTATGATAAAATAGAATTATTGCACTACTTATAATGAAAAATTATTATCATTTATCTAATTATATTGATATTAGTATTAGCGATAAATAAGATTTATTATACTAAGATAGAATGCTGCATACAAGATTGCAGTAAATTATAATATGCTAATGTATATCCAAACTTTGATATACAACTCTAAAAAAATCACAATTTCTTTCCAGAATCCCAATTTGCTATGTACTAACCAAATTCGTGCTACTATATGTATATAATTTTTTAAAAAGCAAATTATAATAATTTTAATAATGATAATATATTCTAAATACAAAAAAAATATAGCTGATAAAAAATATATTGATATTTCTAATAAATTACAAATTTTTTTTTTCATTTATTATTTGCTATACTAACTGAATCGAATCATATTCTCTATATTCTAAATTATAAGACCTTTCATAAGAAGATAATCTATTAATAGCAGATTCAAATAAAGTAATATTAGTTGATAAAAATTCAGGTAAAGTTAAATCAATGATTTGACTAAGATTTAAATTATTAGTCAACATTTGTTACAAATCATTATTATTATTGTCTTCAATTTCTAAATCTTCAGTTTGCTGCATAATTACAGAGTTATTTAAATTTTCTCTTAAGTTTTTATTATTTACATCTTTACCATAAACTCTCAATTCTTTATTTATATTTGAAACATAAAAAGATCTAATCTTTGCTATGGATTCAATTTGTAATAAACTCAATTGTGTATGCTTATTTTCAAAAAGCCATTTTAGTATAGAGAAATTCCTTTCACAAACTGCCTAGAATGGAACAATTGAAAATAGAAATAAAGCAAGTTCTTGTAATTGATTATTTTCTATATCTACATTCATGCTCATCTATCATTTTAGTGGCATTTCTTTAAATTGATTATAACTAAGATCATACTGAGGTTCTTTATGCTTTTATGATCTTATTTCTGATAAAATACTTAAACTTGATGCTTCTGTATACTTAAAATTATACCAAATGAGTAATGCAGTTTTATATATTTTATTTAATGCATTTTGTTGTAATCCACAACCTATAAATAAAATTTTTGAATAAATTAAAAATTAAATATTAAAAAAATATTTATTATAAAACAGAATAAAATCTAAGTTGTAAGCTAATATATATAATCTTCACTATGTAGATTTGAGTTTACTTAGATTTTATTCTGTTGTATAACTTATATTGCATCAAATTGAAATTTGTATTAAATTAAAAATTTCAATAGAGTTTTATTAGGGTATTACATAGCAATATTACATATAATTATTTTGATATTTGATGTACAACATATGTATATATATTTACCATGATATAATGGATAAAGCCAATAGGCTAATATATAAAAATCATTAATAAATTTTTCAAAATGGTGATTAAAATTGTTGATCATTGGTGTTTTTCACTAATTTTCTGACTCTAATCTATTAATACTAGTCACAAGTCTTATTAACCAATAAAACATTCTGCTAAATTTGCATTGCAGGCTTCAAGAATATTAGTTAATTCTTTTACTAGTTTAAGAATAGATGCTATTTAACAACACTTTGAATAAAACTTTTTATTTTGAAGTAAATCAAATACAACCTTATTTGAAATAATTTCAGTATGATTTTCTAAAAACTATAAAAAAATTTAATAAAAATTTAATATTAGTTTTTATTTATAAACTTCATTTTTTAAATTGAATAGTCTCTATGGATAACTGTATAAGAAACCAGAGAAAGTAGGTACTACTTTGCTGAACTTTTAATTTTTTTAAAATATAATTATAATATAATTATAATTAATATATATTTTTTATATAATTTAAAATTTTATATTATAAATATATAATAAAAATATTTTTAAAATATTT